GCACATCCTCTCGTACGTCCGTAGGCACCGAGGAGGAGGCGGCGGAGGCCTACGACATCGCGGCGATCAAGTTCCGTGGGCTCAATGCCGTCACCAACTTCGACATGAGTCGCTACGACGTCAAGACCATCCTCCAGAGCAGCACCCTACCGGTGGCGGTGAGTGGCGCGGCGAGGCGCCTCAAGGAGGCCGCTGATCATCCAGAGGCTGGCGCCACGATCTGGCGGGCCGGCATGGATGGCGGCGTCATCTCCCAGCTGACCGACGTCGGGATGGGCGCTTACGCGTCGTACCACCACGGCTGGCCGACAATCGCATTCCAGCAGCCGTCGCCGCTCTCGCTGCACTACCCATACGTCGCCCAGCCGTCTCGCGGGTGGTGCAAGCCCGAGCAGGACGCCACCGTCGCCACGCAAAACCTGCAGGACCTCCAGGAGCTGCACCTCGGGACCGCCGCTCACAACTATTTCCAGGCATCGTCGAGCTCCACGGTCTACAACGGCGGCGGCGGCGGCGGGTACCAGCAGGGCACCGGTGGCAACGCCTTCCTGATGCCGGCTAGCGCCGTCGTGGACGAACAGGGGCACAGCAGCACTGCCACCAACCAGGGAAGCACCTGCAGCTACGGGGACGAAGAAGGGAAGCTCAATATTGGGTACGACGCCATGGCGATGGCGAGCACCGGCGCCGACCCATACGCGGCGGCGTCAACGGTGAGCATCGCGAGGGCGAACGGGTACTCCAACAACTGGAGCTCGCCGTTCAATGGCATGTGATGATGGTGAAGAGGGCAGAAGCTAGTAATAGCGGGATCAATTAGCTAGCTAGAGAATCGAAGTTAGGTCAGGGGTCTTGCTCGCTCGTTGTTGCGTTTCGGCTCAGGGTTCCGGCTAGCTCTCCTTGGCCGGGTGGATGACACTCGTAAAGGTGCTGTGCATGCATGCCTTCTGGAAGCTGGTAATGGCAAGTCAGGATAACTAAAGGAGGCTTGTGTCGTTGTAAGTTATCCTGACTTGCTGTTAGTTTTGGGTAGTTTCAGAAGGATCAAGATTCGACTTATTTTGGCTTTCCATTTAGTTAGAGCATCTACATACGCATATGACAAATATAACTCCTCATACATCCGTAGACGCACCATTTTGTGTCTGTTGCACTGCATACCTCAAATTTGATACCTTAAATTCATATTACACTATGCAACTGAAAAGTACATACTAAATAACTTCCGACTAGTCAAAATTTAAACAACAAATCCGAACGAACGCTAAAAATAACGCATGCAATCCCGCCTTTTATCCTTAGCGCACCCGTGCATGCAGCATGGTTGGCACATGCTTGAAACTAATAAAAATCAGGATGATGTCAGCAAAGATTCTCTTTATTTCAAAACTTTAAAATACTTTGTAGCTCAAACTGTCGCTCCGGTTAAAAAAAGTTTTCACATAAAAGATTTCTCACGACGAAACCTTCGAAACTAGATCCATTGTTGGTATGTTCCGACGACTTTTTTTTGGTAAAATGTTACCACATGTGTGCTACGCAAGTTATCATGCGAGTTGAGACAAGTTATCATGTTAATTACACAGAAATTATCAAAGCTTAAACATGATTCCTCCAATATTCGTTGCACGCAAAAAAAAAGTCAGAACATATCAACCTGAGATCCAATTTTGTAGGTCTCGCCGTGGTGGATTTTTTATGTGAAAATGATGTTTCGATCGGACCGATGGTTTGAGCTATAAAACATTTTGAAGTTTCAAAAATACTGGAGAATCTAGGATGATATCTATTTTTCCTCCTCTAATGCATGCATACATGTTTAATATAGGTTATCAGCTCTAATGTGTGTGAATTATCTTGCTACTTACACGGGAGTTGTCGGGGGTGGGGTGGTGTATGTTTTTAATAAAAAAATCTCTTGGGTCTAAAGTTACCCCGTTGTTTTTACATATTTTATCATCTTTGGTGTGTGTAAATTATCATGCAAGTTATCGGGAGGAGGTGAAG